GGTTAAGTAATCGTCTTTTAGCGATATCGGGGAGGTTTTTTAGAAGGTCAAATTTGATCCTATCGCTTCCCGGAGCAGAGTTATTTGATGAAAGAAGTGCCATTGAAAATTCCAGCATTGTGAATGGTTCATCCAGAGAACCGTTACTTCGGGCTGTATCCCGTAAAGTTGGTTGTGCTGGAGCAGAATCTGGACAAACCTTTTTAGCGAAGTCGAATATCCATTGGGAGGAGTACTCTTCACTCTCATTGGAAGATGAGCGGTTTCGCATATAGCGAGCCTTTTTCCAAAGCGTTGTCATCGAGGTTTCTCTAGAAAGTCTCTCGATAAAAGTACGCCAGTAATTTCGTTTCTTTGCTTTTAGTAAGTTTTAAGCTTTTTTTCAAGCTTTAGATACTTTTCAAAAAGCTCAGATCTTTCATGTCTACGATAATCTTTAAAGGAATCGAATTTCTCAAGATACAACTTTGTGCATTCGTCATCCCATCCAGGGGTGGCGGGTCTTCTTTTGAGGGATGCACTTGGAACACGTCGTTTCTGAGCTTCTAATGCGCTTTTGTAGATTAGCTCGGTAAAGAAACGGTTCTCTTCCAGTGGTGGTAGAGGATCGGTAGAATCAATACCAAGAGTTACCGCCGATACAAATTTTTGCCAATCAATGTTCCTCGTGAGGTCAAAAGGAACTTGAATTGACTGATATGTTTTTAGACGACCACTTTTGATTGAAATAATAATTGGCAAGTGATCAATACCATGGGGATCATTGATAACCTTCCACAGACAATCTAATGATAGTGAGTTAGAGCACAAAGAAATGTCAAGACGGCTCTCTCGAGCAGGAGGGTTTGCTATACGTGTTGCTTCACCAGTGTTCAAGATAGTCAAGTTGAAATCGTCGCACAAATCATAGAAAATACCCGCTCTATTGTCATCGTATGATTCGCCCCAACCAGTACCGTGTGAGTTCATATCGCCCAGTATTAGAACTGGAGATGGAAGGATATTAACTGAACTCCAAAGCTGACGGCGGTTTATGGAAGTCCTTGGAGGGACATATACAGAAGCTATGCAAAGATCTTTGTTCTTCACATTTATTTGGCAAGCGACAATTTCAATGCCTGAAATTATTGGGATTGAGATTTTATAGAAGGGGTAGCACTTTTTGATCCCCAAAAGTACGCCACCATATGAATCATCTCGGTCCAGGCGGATAATGTTAAAATCGTGGAAGTTTAGTTCATCTTCAGAAGAAAGCCAAGTTTCACAGAGTGCAAATATATCACAATCAGAATTGTGAATCAAATACTTGAACGAGTCTAATTTAGGTATTAAACTACGACAGTTCCATTGTAATAAAGTGATCATATCTTGATCCTCACTCGACGAATTATCCATCGAAAGATATGAATTCACCAATGAGGGGCCATGATGCAGTCAATTGCTTGAAGTAGTTTCCGACTATAGGAACAAGCAGGTCAATAAGCCTTCGAAGTGGCGATTCGTCGGGAAAGCCGAGGGCATTCAAAGTATTATCCACAATGTCCTTAAATTTAATCTTTCCTCGCTTGGACGGGAGAGTTTTCTTTGAATTGCGAGTAGACGTGGTGTTTATTTTTGGTAACCTCTTACGATTACCTTTATTAGGTAGCGGCGGGGTGGAAAAGCTGCAGCAAGGATCAGATGGAGCAGCAATTACCGATTTGTTCGGGTTTTTCAATGAATCCTCGCTACCTTCAGATTTTTGCATGTTTTTGAGAGTGGTTTTATTTTTTTTCCGGCGCACTCCCGGGGAGCTAGTCGGCTTCCTTTTACCGGGGGCGTGTACCTCCGGAGACTCACTCTCATCTGCTATGTCAGAGTCCAGTTCATCGGAAGACAAAATCTCAAAAGTGTTTTCATTTTGAGCGGCTGATGCCAACGAAGCAGAGGATCCATTTTGCAACTTAACCATTTCTGCAAACGTCAGCTTGGAGCGTTCTTTTATTAAACGCTTCACATTGTTGGTACGCTTCTTGTACGCGGGGCAGTCCTGCAAAGCATGAAGAGGTTCTTTGCCACAGTAAGCACATTTAGTTGCTTCCTGTTGGCAAGCACCCTCCATGTGGTCTTGGCTACATTTGCCACAACGGGGCTTGTTGTCACAAAAAGCAGCTGTGTGTCCCAACTTTTTGCAGTTGGTACAATTATATACCCTTGGTACAAAAAGTCGCACCGGGAAAAAAACATTTTCAATTTCTAAGAACTTTGGGAGAACCGATCCAGCGAAAGACACCTGTAGTGAGCCTGAAGGGGAATAAGTCTTTTGACCATCTACCGTGGTCGCTGAATACAATATCCTGCAACCCAGAACGTCTACGGTAGATGTAGCAGCATTTTGAAGGCGCCCCATACCTTCCATGACGTCATCACACGTCAGGCTCACTGCAGAGACCACGCCGTCTATCTCCACATCTCGAGATGGGATGTAGACGTAATACTCTTTGTTATAAGCCTCGTCGTCAGCAATATCATTTGCGATATTATATGTAGGCGCAGTTATACGCAGTTTGTTCCGATTGACCTGATGAAATTCGGTCCCCGGGAAAAGACGCGTCAATATTCTTTTAATCCCTAAAGTGGACCCTACACGATTGCTTTTATTGTCAATAATCGTATTGTCAATACATTTTATATTGACGTCAATACATCTATATTGACAATATTTCTGTATTCACATCATCAATATTAATGTCAATACTTGTAAGTATTGACAATATTTCTTACCGTGTGGGGTTTGCTTAAGAAGTTAAGGGCTTTCTCTTTCTGCCGAAAATAGACAACCCAAGGCGAGGCAGAGGACGCCTGATAATGGCGCTTTCTAAGTTTATCATTGGGAGGCTTACTGCCCCCCTTTGAACCATCCATTAGAAATTAAAAATTGTCGTCAAAAAGTAATTATTATTTTACTTTTTTTTATTAACGAACCACCCTATGTGGAACGATTCTACTGGGGGAGAGACAGACGATCCACAAGCAAACAGTCAGAGGAATGGGAATACAAAAACAGATACGTGCTACTATTTGCCCTTACCGTTTCTACTGCTATACTGTTGCTGCTCTGCCACAATAGATGCCGGTCGTACACATCGTCCGTGCGGTGGCTCACTGCTTTCTGCTGGTTATTGTTTCCAGTCGTACACACCGTCCGTGTGGTTGTCGTTTGCCGATGTGTATTACACGGCTCTTGCTGCTGACTATGGCTCCGATAAAATCAATTTTATCTTCGAGCGGGTTAAAGATGGACAGTCCGATCGTAGGCTTCGCCAGGATCGGTTGCTTCCTTATGTAATGCGCGAGTCACCTGAGGCACAAAAACTGCTTTCAGAAAAAAAAACTTTTCACGGTGAAAACACTTTTAAAGCTATGCCATGTGACGAGACAACAGGCCTTGATGTTGCTCATTTGCAAGCAGAACGAGGAATGATCTACAAACCATGACAACCATAAAAACAAATACAATCAATGTTTTTCTGAACGAAATCCTGATATTTTAATATTATTATGTTTTCCTAAAAATAATGTTTAGGGACCTTTCATTTCAAGAACAACAATTAAAAAAGCATCCACTTCATTTTGTAAACAAACCTGGCCTTACAACATTTTGTGGCGAACTGAACTCCGCCAACGCAAACCAACAAAATGAACAGGTAAGGAAAATTCTCCTCTACCCGGTTGTGTTTTAGGTATGCGAATATAGGTTTCGGTTCGCGAGAAAAAGGCCTTACAAGGTTTGTTTACAAAATGGAGTTGAGGCCTTTACAATTGCTGGTCTTGATTTGATATTTTGATCTTGAAAAACGGCCCAGTGGTTCAAAAGTCATTTTTGAAAAGATTCGATTTTTTGGACCACCCTAACATGGAAATGGTCACTCGAATGACAAAATAAAAAAAATACTGGTCCAATATTTCGCCGTAAGGAACTGTATTATTTTGCTATGGAATGGCTGTATATGAGTTTCATAAACTCCACATCGCGTTTAGCCAAAATATTCCGAACTGGAACATTAGGTTGTCTTGAGGTAGACAACGCAGGAAATAGTACAGCTCAGATCTAACTCCACGATGCTCAGCACAAGAACAAATAATGTGATCTGAGTCCTGGTAATGGAATCAATATGACGCATGTTATTTTATGAATATTTACCGAACGAACCTCCTCCATGAGTTCAGGTATAGCCAAAAACGGCACAAACGAACTGACTTTCTTTTCCCGTATCCATCCACCCCAATGTTTAAGTAGCATAACAAATTAATAAACACAAACGAGAGAACGTAGCAACAAGTTAATGCTTCAACCAAATAGCAGCATAAAATCGTTCTGCCACCACACAAGAAACAAACCGCCTCCGCCATCGCCGAAGTGAAGATAGCACATGTGAGCATGAGAGCATGAGAGCATTATTTCGAGAGAAAGAGAGTCGAACAACACAGCATAATTGTCGAGCGAGCGAGATAATGGGAAAATCCAGCAGCATCCAGAGCAATGATCATCACTTTTCTAACACGACGGACACAGTTGCTCCATACAGAGATTTATCTCACCTAACATTCATTGTTTATCGAGAAAGGATTCTGGTGCGATCATTGGTTGGGTGGTTGGATGAGAAGCATTATATCTAAATGAGCAGGTCGGTCGGAGTGCTGAGAGATGTGACGGTCGGGGAGAATGGGGTGAAATGTGCCGCTTTCGGGGGATAGTTTTACTTTTCATAAACTTTGAAAGATAATTACTATTGAAATACCTTTTGTGAATTGAATATTATAATTACTAACAATTATTGCCACAGATAGCTTGCTCTACCCCACAGCAATATTCCAGAGAATCGAATGCCGTCTATAGGGAGGGAAGAGCCCCGGCCCACGACCACGACGGCGCGTCGAGAGAGCGTGAATAACAAACATGGAAAAACAGAATCACCGCTGGCTGCTTCGAATCATTTGTCTTCCGAGCTTGAAGCGGCAAGCATCGTTTTCGAAGTTAGTGGTGGCTCGATTCCAGTACCTACCCAGAAACCCCTAACAGTCTGTGGAAAGTGTGCGTTTTTCTTCGGAAATCTCTTGAACGTCGCTTTGAGAATTTCGCTGCAATAACGACGGTGACGATCAAAGCAGCACTTGGGATATTTGTAAACTTTGTTGCGGTGGTGATTTTCGTGTGTGTGCATGTGAAGCCGCGGTTTGCATTCGCGCAGATCATAAGGCAGGCGCCGGCCGTCGAACCATTTGAGTCGAATTGTATGTAATTGCGAAGGAAGGGGCGATTGATTCAAAATAAATAATATTCTCCTTTCGGGATGAAACAACAACAACGTTGCGTCGGTAAACGCTTGGGCAAAGTGCGATCGTGCTCCGATGCGTTACGTTCGAAGGAAGTTTGAAGCAATATTTTGCTTATTAATGTAATCCCAAAAAGTAATTATACAAAAAAAAAGCCGGCTAAAATCGCGGTTTGTATTCCATTCAGTGGGATTAACGGCGACAGTGAAATTCTAATGCAGCAGAAAGCAACGAAATCGATTTCCCTTTCAATATTATGATGTGAAAAAACGTACAAATTAAAACATTTATTTTCATCGACCTCACCAGAGAAAAGAAGGTGTGGGAAAATCCCCCGGAGTTTAAATCGAACAGCCGGCGGTATATATTATGATAGGTGATAATTTGCTATTTATTGGAAAACATAAATAAATCAAATTGAAAGTTTCAAACGAAGATCGACTCTGGGAATATACCAAGTGACGAAACGACTACGAATGAAAAAATAGGCTAATGTAAATTGAAACATGATTGATTAGCGACGGTAAAAGTAAAAATCAATAAGAAGGAGTGTTATACGCTGAAATAGTGATCGGAAAATATATTTTTAAACAGTGTTTCTAAGACTTATATTACAGTAAGCAGATTTCTTCCAAACAACTACTTAATCAGATAAACGACAAGGTAAGAACATTACTTAAAATTTAGTGATTTTAATGAAAACTAAACCACTGATAGATATTTATTCAATATATTAAACATCAAAGCCTCTGCAAAAGTATCAGGAGCTGTTGTTTAATGTTGTGTTCTGTAATTTCAGGCTTATCGAAATTTTGTCAATCGCATCTTTTAACAAATATTTAGATAAATGCCTAAAATTTTGCATTTGCAACAAGGGACAGTTTTTTCCGCGAACATTTTGGATACATTCCTTGTTTTATGAAGATGTTTGGAGTCATGTTGTAATTGATGAAGCCTTCCAAAAAATATTTCTGAATATTCTAGATTTTTACTTTTGAAATTCATATTTTAAATGTTGATTATGAATAATTGAACTAAAATCAGTTTTGATCGCCCTGAATATCCACAAGACTTTATTGATATTTTCGATTAGCTGGAGATCTTTTGAACACGTCCGATCCAACCTGCTCATTCTAAAATCTTATTTGAAATTTATGATCAGCTAGAGATCGTTTACAAAATCTTATTTATATATGTTCAACCAGCAATCCTGTAAAAATTTCTGCAATTTTTCGAACAGTTAAAGATCTTCAGAATAATAATTGATTAACGTGAAGTCTTGAAGCATTTTTTCTGATAAATCTGCCATCCTGGAAGAATATCTGATATGTAATATTAGAGTTTTGGCGAGGGGCACGTACAGCACTTTCAATACAACTCAGCCAGCTAACCAAACATTTTAAATCATACCATTGCGTTCATTACTTTAAAAAAACTCTTCAATACATTATACATTTTGCTTTAGGGTGGCCCAAAATAACATTTTGTCGGGAAATCTAGGACTCACTCTCCAAATGATAGCCAAGGATGTTACAACAAACCTTTTGCATCGCAGCATCTCTGAAAAACTTGATGTAGAGGTAGCCCCAATGAGATTTTTGAAAAGGTAGATTTTTCATAGTCATAGCTGAACAAATATTTTTGAAGCATCGGAATTCAGTGTAATCTAACTCTTTTGCATATTTTACACATTACTTGGGGTTCCTGCTATAAGGAAAAAAAAATGTTTCAAGAATTTTTTTTTCAAATATCAGAAATCACGATTGTTTAGGTGCATATTGTCATTAAATTATCAAAAGAGGGTATCAAAATAAGACTCGTTTTTGCAAAATTGTTTGCCATACTTTTAACTGAATTAAATCAACTATAGGACTTATTTTGATACCCACTTTTGATGGTTGAATGACATTATGCACCTGAAAAATCATGATTTCTGAGAATTATTGCCAGTTCAGATTTGACAACCGAAATTGACAATCGTCACTGACAGCTGCTTTTGGGATTTTCGAGCACTGAACCAAAATCGTTCCTTGAAGACCGAGTTGTAGACCTTGTTCGCATGACAACACATAAAACATGAAAGAAAACATTCAAAACAACAATAATTGGAAGTTCGAAAGATCAAATTAAAGAAATCTGAAGCTATTTGAATAGAACAGTAAATTAAAATTGCATTTCAGCGCATTGGCACAAGAAGATCCTCCAACCAACCTATGGACTGCTACACCCAAGCAACACAAAATCATATAATTATGTTGATTAATCTGCCATATAGCCAAATTCAGTCATATAAAGGTTATATAAACTGTTATAGAACAGGTGTGTTGCTTGGGACACTACTGCATTTAATGAGGACACCCGTCTCCACAATTATTTAGTAGATTCTAGTGTTACATGTGGTTCCAGTATAGCCTGATTGATACAACTGATAACCCAGCGGATCGGGTCGATTGCATCAAGAGGGTTCGATCTGTCTTCAACCGAGGCTTCGAAGAATGATAGTTATTAACCGGTTGTGGTTATGTTTGATAGCTGCGGATGTTGCTTCTTCTTATTTGTGAAATGTCTATGCATGCTAAGTTTTCTGTGAATCAGCAATAATAAAGAAATCATGAAAAAATTGAGCATCTAGCAGGCCGTGACAAATTTTTCTCTTATAGTAAATAGAGATCCTCAGGAATGTGTAAAAAATATGACTGCACTGAACTCCGAAGCTTTAGAAATATTTATTCAGCTTTGACTATGAAAATCGACTTTTTTTTTCAAAAATTTCATCGGGGCAACCTCAAAATCACGTTTTTCTCGATACAAAAGATTTTTTACAACATCCTTGGCTACAAAAGCTGACAAAGAGTTATTTTGAGATTGTACTCGAATAAAAAATGCAACACTTTCTTTCGTGTACAATTTTTTATCGCATGGGTAAAAATTGATGAAATTTTGAGAAAAATTAGTTTAGAGTGTAATGTTTACATGTGCAAAATCTTGTTACAATCTGTCAAGTAGTAGTCGAGATGGCTTCCAAGCAAGAAGTGCTTCGACAAAAAAATTATGGGAGCGGTCGTGGAAAATCCAGGCCACTCCCACAGGTGGATCGCGGAACAGTTTGGAATCGACATTTAGACCGTGTCCCGTGTGGTAAAATCGTTCAAGGAGACCCAGACAACCAAGTGGCGAGCTGGCAGTGGAAAAGCGAAGACGACCGGCCCGTGAACGCAAGGAAGGTGAGGGATTACTTCAATCGTAATCTGAACCTTTCGATTCAGGACGTGGCCAAGTAGGTCAATTATTGCGTCTGCGGGCCAGACTTCATGTCTTCAAGGTAAGGAAGGCGCCTTACTGAACCGATAAACAGAATACGGTGGTCAAATCTCGCACCAGGAAGCTGTATCAATAATCAATATGAAACTAACGATTTTAAATTGGCTCACTACTTGACTAGCCTATTGGTCCCAAGCAAACGATTAACGTACCCCATTCTAGTTAAAATTCTAGTACTACACAATGTTTGTTTTGATTCGCTATGAAAGTTTGATAGATAAAATGAGGGGCTCGTGGATTTTCCTATGTTTCGAGGGGTGAATCGATTAGCTTGGGACCGAAGAGAGTACCAGACCTGAACCAAAAAGTTGAGTACGTTTCTTCGGGACCTTATTGTCTTAGAGTTACCTCTATGGCTGTACCGCGGTGCAGTCGAAATTCATCGTAATGGACGACGAGACGTACATTAAAGTGGATGCAAAGCAGATCCCTGGTCTGGAGTTTTTCGTCGGCAAGTCCCACCTGGATGTTCCGGCGAAGTTCTGGAAGAAGAAGGTCGATAAATTTTTCAAGAAGTTCTTAGTGTGGCAGGCGATCTATGGGTGCGGTAAATTCAGCAAGCCTTACATAACGACCGGCACCATTAACGGCCAAATATATAAAGAAGAATGCTTCCAGAAGCACCTGCTGTCCTTCCTCCGGTCCCACGAAGGTGACACTCTGTGTTGGCCGGATCTGGCATCGTGCCATTACGTGAAACCGGTGATGGACTGGTACGAACCCAACGGTGTTGTTTTTGTGCCGAAGGAGGCAAATCCGCCAAACTCGCCTGAACTTCGCCCAATAGAAAAATTCTGGGCGATTATGAAGGGCAAGCTCCGGAAAATAGGGAGGGGCAAGGATTTGAAGAAAGAGTGGATGAAAGTGTGTAAGAAAGATGGCGCAAGTGTTGCACAGGATTTGATGGGTAGCGTTAAGTCCAAGGTGCGAGCATTTAGCCTAAGAGAGGAGGATGAAAAAACCAACTTTTCAAAAACATAGCTAATATGTGTTTATTTATTCCCTGAGAGATTAAAAAATATCCAACTTAAAATGAATTTTTGATGATCATTTTTGACTGTTGCATTTAATTTTTTATTTTTTATTTATGTTTATTTATTTATTTAATATTTCTCATCTGACTTTGTGTTGTCTTAATGAAATTTGATAATTTGATGGGGAAAAGCCGAAATGACGTAAAAACCCCACATCTTTTCACAATACACAATACAAAATACAAAATTAGGAACATAACATTTAACAAACATGATGTCAGAAGCATAAAATGTGTAATTGGCATGGTCCATCGTTGGAAGCAAACCTCGTCGTCAAGTAAAATACAGAGAACATGAAACAAAAAAGATTCAGGTAGCACATTTCTTAAGCTGTGAGAGCATTGGAATGTTACTCACCTGTTGCAAAATGTAATTTTGCCCATCATTGCACGTCGAGTTATTCCAATTTTCAGTAGATTTCATCCCTCGTGCAGACTTCGTTGAATTCGGTTACGAAACGCAGCCGCAAAAATGTTGAAATCGAAGTATTCGTAGAAGCTGTTAAAACTAGCAGACATGAATCTTATTGGATCATGCAGGCCATAATTTGTTGCGCGCGTCCCAAGATGTAAGAAATTCCTTGTCTGCAATGGTCGTTCAGGAGCATACATTTCTAATTCTGCTAGCATACTTGGAGAGTCGATACCGCCCAAAAATACATTAGCAACGAGCACTGCCTGAGCGATAGTGCGTCTACGTTCTAATGTATCAAGGCCCAAAAGTTGGCAGCGATGTTCGTATGGTGGGAGATTGACAGGATCGTTCCATGGGAGGTGGCGTAATGCATAACGTACGAATTTTTTCTTTAACGGATTCGATTCTCGCTATCCAAATTGCTTGGTATGGGCACCAGATGACATCTCCAAATTCCAATATTGAACGCACGAGAGAAAAGTACCGTGCTTTCAGGCATGTGGATCACGGAATTCATCAGCAATCTTGAAGATAAACCCGAGTTGTCTATTAGCTTTAGCGATGATCTCAGAATAATGCAGCTTGAATGTAATTCCAGGATCAAGCGTAATTCCTAGATCGCGGATACTGCTCACACGTTGCCAAGGTTCATTGTTGATTGTAAAGTTGAACTTGATTGGCTTCTGCTTGCGATGAAAATGATGATGCTGCATTTTTGAATACTCAGCGTGATGAAGTTCCTGGAGCACCAATCCTCAATGTCTTCGATCATATGCTGTAGCTGTAAACAGTCAGTAAGGCTTCGAACTACAACATAAATCTTAACATCATCTGCATAGAAAGAGAGACAGCCAGCCGGAATAATCAATCCAACCTCGTTAATGAAGATTGAAA